GGCTGTGGGCAGATGCGATGGCCTTGGCAGGCAGGGTGAAGGGAGGCGGCAAGGGGACGGTCAGATAGAAGGCGACAGCAGGATGTGGGCTGTGAAAGAGGCAGGGGTGGGTGGGATGGGCAGAGATGCCCTTCCAGACTGCCACGGTTCTGCCAATGTTGCTTTACAATAAAGTAGGATTATCGTCCGGCCATGTTCCTCCTCTGGGCTACCTCGCAAGGCTGGCAGCAGCCAAAGCTCAGCACGGGGCCAGAGAGAAAGGGGCTCCCTTGCCAGGCCTTCGGTTCCTCTCCAGAGAGACTGGCCAGCTGCACTGGAGGGATGAGGGTGCCCCATTTTGGAGCCGGGGTGAAGGGCAGCGAGGCCCGAAGGCTTCCCCCCCCCCCCAGCCCCCCCCAGGAGCTCCCCATCACGGGCCGCACTAAGCAGTGAAGGAACTCAGAATAGGATGCACCAACAGCCCTGAAGCGGACGGGGGTCCAAACCCCCCTGGGCCCACAGATAAGCTGGTCTGCAGTTGGAGCTAGCCGGCACCGGCAGCAGTGCCCCAGTTGCCCCAGAGAGGGTCTGCAGCCCCCGCCAAGCCCAAATGAAACCGGCCACTTTGGGGAGGGCCAGGAGATAAGAGCCCAGATGTGGCTATGCCTGGTTGCCTGACCTCTGGATCCAGGAGCTGCCAAAGGGACAAGGGAAGAGTCGCCTCACCCCAGAGCAACCCCCAGAGCTGGAGGGCTTTCCCATGGGATCGCCCTTCCCTGGAGACCTGGACGAAAGGGGAGACTGAAGGGAAGCCATCGGCCTGGGTGCGAAGGGGCAGAGTTCATGGGGTCCCTGGAAGAGGGTCAGAAATAACCCTCCCTTGTGGTCAGTCCTGGATCTTAAAGGGAGAACAGGAAACACTCAGAAAGGACCACAAGTGACTCAGCGTCCAGGGAAAGCCCCCCCACCAGGAAAGCAGAGAATCAATCCACCAGCCCCCCAGCAGAAGGAAAAGCAAAGAGGGGCGAGAGAGGGAAGCTGGGTGGGAGAGAGACGGGGGGGTCTCCCTTTCATATATTCTCAGAAAGTGCTGGGGAGCCTTCCAAGAAGTTCCATCCATTTTCAGAGTCCCCCCCCCCAAGGATGGGATGGGGGTCCTCAGCCAAGAGAAGTTAGGGGGTCTCTTAATACCAGCCGTTCGGGAAGGGCCAGGACGAAGCTCACCCCATTCCTTTCAGCTGGGCTCGGGGCCCT